AAGGAAAGCAGTGAACCGGAGTTGGGGGCGCTCCCTTCTCATGTTCCTGGCACCCTTCTCCCCTCAGGTCTCTCCTTGGTGGTGGGTTTGGTTCTGTACATCTCCAGCATCAATGACGAGGTCATGAACAGGCCCAGCAGCTCGGAGCAGTACTTTCACTATCGATACGGGTGGTCGTTTGCCTTTGCTGCTTCCTCTTTCCTTCTCAAAGAGGTGATGTGTTGGGCCCAGAACTACCAATTTGAAGGAGGAGGTGGGGATGTCGGGGTGTTCCAGCTCCTGGGGGTCTGGAGCAGATGGGATCTGAAGATAGGGCCTTTTGGGTTTGTGGCAAGAAAACAAACAAACAAACAAACAAGCCTGAGGATTGGACCTTCTGAGGTCTTAGAGGTGGGAGTCCTGGTTTCTTGGAGAGAAGGAGCCCCGGGACAGGACTCCCTGAAGAGAAGACCCTGTGCCCAGGAGGAAAAGAACTCTGTAGGTTATGGGTCGGTCCCAGAGAGGAAAGAGTCTGGGAGTTCTAGCTCCTGGGGATCTTGAGAGGGAAAAAGCTGAGGGAAAGCCTGTAGGTTGGACCCTTGAAGTTTTGGAGGAGGATGGGGAGCCCTTGGTCCCGGGAAAGAGCAGGGCTGGGGGACCGGTCTCTCTGCTTTGACGTGGGAGGGTTTGGCAGTCTGATTCCGGGGTCCAGAAGGAAGAGGAGGCTGAGGGTAATGCCTGTATTATGAGGGAGGAGGGTTAGACTGTGGGTCTAACCCCGGGGATCTGAGTGTTCCAATTCGTGGGGTCCTGGAGGAGATGAGGACTGGGGCCTCTTGGGTTCTGCAGAGGTCTTGCGGGGGGCGGGGGGGTGATATGCAACTGTGACTCCTGGGTTTTGGTGGAGGAAGTGGCAGAAAGCTGCCTCTGGGATTCTGACGGTGCCTTGCCACAGGGGGCCGGAGTCATGTCGGTGTACTTATTCACCAAGCGCTACGCGGAGGAAGAGATGTACCGCCCGCACCCGGCCTTCTACCGCCCGCGTCTCAGCGACTGCTCTGACTACTCGGGCCAGTTTCTGCAGCCCGAGGCGTGGCGTCGTGGTCGCAGCCCTTCCGACATCTCCAGCGACGTCTCCATCCAGATGACGCAAAACTACCCTCCAGCCATCAAGTACCCCGACCACCTCCACATCTCCACTTCACCGTGCTGAGGCCGGGCTCCCTCCCTCTCCTCCTCCTTCCTCCCCCTCACCCGCGCCTCCCGCCTCCCTAATACCTTAAGGGACTCTTGGCTGAGGGATGCTGTGCCATCTCCAGGCCCCAACCCATCATCCTCATTTCAATGGCTCCAACCGCTCGTTGGTCCATTATACTTCCAGATGATGATGTCGGCCACCCGCCCAACCCCCCATGAGCCCGTCCCATTTCGGGGGTCCCTCTCCTGGTCCCTCCCCACCCGTTATCTCTAACCCACTTTACTATCCTCTGGTGGCATCTTGCATCTAGCTCCCCCGAACCCCTTCAGACTACCGCCTCCGCGCGGGGGTGCTGGGCTGGAGAGTGGGTGTGATAGCCACTGGGAATGCCCTTGAATTCTTTCTTTCCTAGCACAACACCACAGTGGCCTGCAGGTCCCTGGTCTCAGGGGTGGGGTGGGGTGGGGTGGGGTGGGGGAGAAGCTTGCTCTGCCCACATCTGCTGGTCGGGTCAGGGGCTGCAGTGATATGACTATGGCTTACCTTGACTTCTTTTTCTTTTGCCTCTGGGAGACTCCATTCCCTCTCTTTCTTTTGTCCTCTGGAAGGAAGGTGATCTTTCTTCTAAGGGATCATTCTTCTCCTTCTTCTCCTTCTTCTTCTCCTCCTCCTCCTTCTCTTCTTCTTCTTCTTCTTCTTCTTCTTCTTCTTCTTCTTCTTCTTCTTCTCCTCCTTCTTCTTCCTTCTCCTCCTTTCCTTCTTCCTCCTCCTCCTCTCCTTCTTCTTCCTCCTCCTCCTCTCCCTCCTCCTCTTCCTCCTTTCCTTCTTCTTCCTCCTCTTCTTTTCCTTCCTCCACTTGCTCATCCGAAGCCCCTAGGTGCATCCAGCCTCTCACACCAAACAAGGATGGGACCCCAGGGTGGAGGGAGGTTCCCTCATGCTATCTCCACACCTGTGCCCGCCTCTCCCCCCTCGAGGTCCCATCGGGGGAGGGAGGGGTAGTAGCGGGGGTTAACACCCCCCAAAACCTCTGTCTTCCATTTTCTGGTACTCCCTCTCATCCATGTCCCTCTTCCTATCTCAGATCCCCCAACTCTGGCCTCTTTCAAGGGCCCGTCCGCCCCCTAGGACAGATTCGGGGGGTGGTCGCCAGAAAACCGCCCACCCCACCCCCTTTATTAAGGGAGGAGGGGAGAGGTAGCACAGTGTTAACACACGGAACCAGAACGGCCCCAGGGTGGGGGGAGGGGGGCAGGGGAGGGACGGGGCTTTTAGTTTGCATCTTAGGTGGGAGGGGGTGGGGGAACCGCAGCAGTTATAACCTGTCTTTACGCAGCGATTTTTAATGAGGCTGGGGGAGGGGGAGGGAAGCGGTAAGGGTGGGGAAATGGTGGGGTGGGGGGCCTGGCTCTGTTATTTACCGTGTATCATATGTAAATACCGACAGAAACTTCAATAAACTTTATTTCAAACACGTCTCTGCCTAACAAAAGGGAGGGCATCAGAAACAATGGGCTTATGGTACTGGTTTCTCCTGAGGGTAAAGTGCTATTATTCTGACTAGATCTTTCGAATGGTGCATGCCTTCAATCCTAGCACTCAGAAGGCAGAGGCAGACAGATCTCTGTGAGTTCTAGGACAGCCAGGACTAAGTAATACTTTGTCTTCAAAAATAGAACACCACATGACCAGGTTTGTAATTCCGGACTTGGGAGACAGAGGCAGGAGGATTGCTGCAAGTTCTAGGCAAACTTTCAAGGCTTTCTTAAAAAACAAAATAAGCCCACCAAGATGGCTCTGCTTGAGTCCTAGAACCCACTCTTGCAATGGAATGCTTGAGATTACTTCCCTTTCTCCCCGTAATAATAATGGAATTAAAAATAAGCTGGGCGGTGGTGGCGCACACCTTCAGTCCCAGCACTTGGAAGGCAGAGGCAGGGGGATCTCTAAGTTTGAGGCCAGCCTGGGCTACAGAGAGAGTTCCAGGACAGCCATAGCTACACAGAGAAATGAAACCCTGTCTTAAAAAACCAAACCAACCAAACAAAAACAAACCAAACAAACAAACAAAACTTGGGGTGTAGGTCAGCTGGTACAGTGATTGCCTAGCATACCTGAGGCCCTGAGTTTCATTCTCAGCCAGGCCAGGAGATGGGAGCGGGAGGAACAGGAGTTCAAGGTCCTCACTGGCTGTGAAGAGAGCTTAAGCGCTCACTGAGAGAGGAAGAGGAAGAGAGAGAGAGAGAGAGAGATAGAGAGAGAGAGAGAGAGAGAGAGAGAGAGAGAAAGAGAGAAAGAGAGAAAGAGAAAGAGAGTTGAGAAGTTATTTAGGTTACTTAATTTAATCGTCACCTTATAACTCAGTCCCTGTATAAGGACAATACATGAAAACAATGTTAAGGTCAATACAAAAACAAAAAGAACCCCACCTCTTGATAGCCTCTGGCTACCCAGTGCACTGTCCGTCACCCACACTGCTCCGTCTGACTTTCTTCCGAGACCCCCTGTTGAATTTACCGGCCTCCTCGTGCCCATTCAGCCAGCCAGGTGAATGACTCATCTGAGAGCGTTTATGCCAACTGACAGCCTTTGACTGGCACCAAGTCAGTCTGGCTCCCACACCTGAGCTTCCTTCCCGGGTACAAGGCAAGAGTGGGCTTCGCGCATGCTGGGCCCGTTTGCTACGACGTTGAAAGAAACCACCGTAACTATTTATTGGACAGCTGCCGTGAGGCAGAAGCTTCCGATCTGAACATAATCCCATTAGCCGTTCACAGTGGTGGGTATGTAGGAATTACCGCTGTTTGTACAGGTGAGGGAGGGAGGGAGACAGGGAGGCTCAAAATTGGATTCTGAGAGCTGCAGTTCCACTCTAGGGAGAGACTGAGAACAGCCAAAATATTAAGTAGCCGATAGATTTACAACCGAGATCTCTCTCCCCACCTCTCTCTTAGAGGTTGAATCCAGGGAACCAAGGACCTCCTAAACGCAAGGCGAGAGCTCAGTAGCTAAGCCACACCCCCAGGCCCTCACTAGGGGATTCTGGGCAGGTGCTCTACCACTGGCAACAACCCCCTCCCCTCCCCCCTCCCCCGTGGCCCCAATAAGCTTAATCTTGAAAACTAGGAAGGAAGTACGATGTCTGCCCCTTGTTCTTTGCCTCATCTGTGCGACAATGGCCCTGCCACCGTGACACCTGGCTCACAACCACCGCCCTACTGAGGTAACGTTTTTTAATTTATCCAGTCATTAGTTTTCCCCCACCATCCTGTAGACTCAGCATTCCCACTAGCCCCGGGTTACAAGTGAAGAAGCAGAGGCATTGGAAGGTGAGGTGACCCATCTGTTAACCCGTGAACTCGTCCCATGCCCAGGCTTTCCCTGAGTCACAGTCAATTAGCTGTTACATTAAAAAAAAAAAGTACAGAGGGGGAGGGGACGCATGTGAGGTGCACACACGTGGAGGTCAGAGGACAGCTTTCAGGCTTCAGTTCTCTCCCTCCACCATGTGGCTTCCAGGGACTGGACTCAGGGTGTCTGTCACCTGGTGGCAAGGCCCTTTACCTGCTGAGCCATCTTGCTGTCCCCAGCTGCTACGTTTTACCACCACGGATTTTATGCAAACTCATGCTGTGACCTTGAGCAAGTCTTTTTAATTTCCGAGGCTTTGGTTTTCTTTTCTATCTAAAAAGAAAAAAAAAAAATGAGGGGGATGGTTTAGAATGATTCCAAATCCCTCTGGAACAGGGAGGATGGTTTAGGGAGGTTCTCAGGAAAGAACTCAGATTCAGCAGGGTCAGACTCCCTGGAGGGAAATACATTCTGAGTCATTCTCCATGATTCCAGGAATTTCTGAAGGTCAGGCTTGAGATTCGCAATGGCAAACACAGTTCAGCATCTTTGTTGAGACTAATTGATTCCTAGTGTGGCTTGGAACACAGTATTAGAAGGATTCTGAACACACGTTTGCTCAGGAGGAGAGAATGTTCCCACCTATCGGTTCTGTCTGCCACGCTGATCTATTGGTGCTGTCTGCCACACTGATCGATTGGTGCTGTCTGTCCTGCCTGTAGCATGGGAGGCGATGGTACAAGTGCTGGCTGCTGCTATTTGTACAGAACATAGTAACCTAAAATCCTGAAGTTGATGTTCTCTCTCTCTCTCTCTCTCTCTCTCTCTCTCTCTCTCTCTCTCTCT